TAAATCTTCTCAATATTAAAATAACTAGTGTTTTTTACAACAATGTAAATTTTCTGTATTTGCCTTTGTTTCATAATGACTAGTGATCCTGTTCAATCATGTGCTTTAAATCTTTTGACATTTTTGACAACCCCCCCAAATCACATTCTAAATTAAATCTTTTGACCTTAAACTAACTTTGAAAGGTTTCAGAGGGCACCTGAAATATCTTGAAGCACTTTTAAAAGAGAGATGTTAAACTAGTCAGGCTTATTTGATATGTTACATTATAGGGGAAGCATTGTCAAATACGTGATGCTAAACCTTCTTTAAGTAATATTGGATGATATGAGTTATTGATATGAGTGGTCTAGAAATTTATGAAATTCTTAAATATGAAATGTCTATATGTTATCAGTCATAATTCTGGTTATTATGTTACAATGTTGCATGCCATGGAAATAACAAAGTATCCTTGTCAACTGCATTACAACGAACTCTCATCAGATTTTTAACTATGGCCTTTTTAAGTCTTGTGATCCCACAGACAGTTCATTGTTTTATTAGTATTCTGATACTTTTCTGAAAGCTTTTGCAAGCAACTATAATCCTAAAGTGCTTCAACTTCAAGGAGATTCGTGACAAGAACAAGTTTTTGATAACTTTAAGATCATAACCTTGGACTGGGTAAGAACTCCAGTGAAGAAACTGATGACTTCCTGAAACTAATCTGAAACTAACATGAAATTTGTTATTTGAAGATCAAGCCCAATAAGAATTAATTACATGGGACTAAATGAACTGATGAGGATAATGTTTTTATGACTTTTTATTTGCAATTTTGATGGTTCTTTATTTTAATGTTTTGTTTTCCAGATTTAAGGAAACTTTCTTCTTTTAAGCTTTCTATAGCTTATAGCAATTTGGTAATGTATACTTTTGTAAACAGAATTGAAATATTTACTTTTTCTCTCTACCTGATCTTTCCAGAATTTGGAATGTTACTTGTGGATATTCTTATTTATGGTAATATAGTTATTTGCATAAGCTCAGTGGTAGTCTGTTCTCTTTATAGCAGGATACAATTGGAAACACTGGTTATATTATCAAGGCTTTTGCGGGAATGTCATATTTGAGAATGTGCCTAGAATGCCTGGCTTTAAGAGTTCCTAGCCTTACAGTGAGTGAGTAAAATTATGTTCAATCCTTTAGCCGGAACTCAATATTTGGGGACCTCAAGAAAGGAGGGATTCACCCAAATCTATAGGTACTTCTGGCGAAGTGTGAAGTCTGCCTTGGTGTGGCTTCCTAGTCTTGAGAGGCTTTTAACCACTTCTGTACAGCGCTCACCGGCCGAGGAACCGTGCCCACAGCCGGCACTCATAGTCGCCGATAGTTTGTGCTGTGCATGACGACGAATCCGTTTTGCTCTCGTGTGATGAGGAAAGCTTGAAAGCACTGAAAGCTTGTTTTCCTTTACAGGCAGCTTTACTTGTAATGTAAATGAAGAATAGATATATACATATATGTTTTCATTACGTTATTTTTAAATGTTCACAATTTTATTTTGATAAATGAAAAATTAGAAAAGTCATATTGTTGGGCCGTAGACATGTACAGCCCGTTTGGGAGAGAGACGCCGCCCAAAAGATCAGAGTCAGAGGCTTGATGCAAAAGAGCAGGAGGCTTTATTCAGTGCAGCACAGGGGGGGACAGCAAGCTAGGGGAGCTGCCGCGCCACTTTCAAGCTTGGGGGTTTATTAGCTAAAACGCCAGGCCGTGGGGTTAGGATTTAGGGTGGGGAATTCACTGTTTGTCTTGTTATAACGGTTGCACTTAGTTCAGAGATTGTAACAGCTATAACAGCTTTCTTGAAGGCGGAAGGGTGTGGGTTATGGTTTTCATAAGCAAGCGTGGTTACAGAAGCAGAGAGCTGGTTAGGGCTAGTTTGGGTTTACTAATATCACGGCTTATCTGTTGGTATCGACTTGATACATCGTACCGGATGCGCTGCGTTAAAGCATCTATACCAAGGCATTATAAAAAATTTACTTTAATATTTTAATTTATTTAAAAATAGTAAAATTTAAAGTAGAACAGAAAGTAAAGCAATGACAATAAGTGTAGAATTATTAGAAATTAGGGATCAGTTGGACTCATAGGATTCTAACAGGTAGACTAAGTAAAAGGAGGTGGAATTTCAACAAACCAAAAAAGACCTACAAGTTTCCAGAGTGATTATAGAAGTTTTAATAAAGCTAATATGCCATACACATGAATGGTTAGAAAACATTCTAGTATATCATTTTGTAATTTTAGAACATCAGGGACAAAGCAAATCTAAAACTTCAGGAACAAATGGGTCTCAAACAGTGTCAGGGCTAGATTGGAAAAGAAAGTGGAACCAAATTTCAAAATTCTGAGGGAAAACTATTAATCTAAATGCAATGCTCAAGAAAATTGTTAATCAGAATTGGGGATAGAACACCATCATTTTCAGACTAACAACTCTCTAAAACTGATATTCACTACATCTATGTGTCCGTTGCTTAAAAAAAAACAAAAACAAAACTGATATTCATGCACGCTTTCTTAGGTAGTAACTGTAGAATGTGTTCTAAGAAAAGGAGTGACTATGAGGAAGAGGGAGACAGTGTGCAGGCCGTCTTCCTGTCACTTGGTGAAGACCTCAATGTGAAAGATAAACCAGAGTCTAACAGAAAACATAGGACTTGGGTGGGAAAGTACTTGTTCACAAAATCACAAAAGCAAAATTGTAAAGGTGAAATAAATGGATTTGACCATGTCCAAATTAAAGATATCTATGCAATGAAAGACAATCTTGAAACAAATTAACAGGCAGACAACAGTCTAGGAAAGGATATTTGCAAAATTTTTATTGAACAGAGAGTTATCCGAGGAAGTCATACAGAAAATAATGGGGATGCAATAGTAATTAGGCCAAGGGCAGAGTTGGGCCATTTACACAGAAAGTCCCCAGTGGCCAGCCAGTATGCAATAATAAAAAGACCTAAAAGACACTGAGCAGGTCCTGTGACCAGCCACCATTCCAAGGATTTCACCTACGTGAATCCCCACAAAGCCTGAGGAAGAAGGGTTGATGTCGCAGTCTCTTCCTTGCCTGGAAGGAAGAGTCTACAGGGGCAAAGGGGAAGCACGGAAGGTTAGCTGAAAAATTAACTAACAACAGGCAGATCAATTGGAGAAAACACATACAGATTTCTTATTAATGTGTACAGAGAAGCCTTCAGAATAAAGTCCCAAAGACACAGGGGAAATTTTATGCACAGATTCAATGTAGTATAGACAGCCATATAGAAATATGGCTGGACAGAAAAGACATGGTCTAATGCTAATGCACTGGTGGGGACACCCAGCCTCTCCGAGCTGCATTCCTTCCTTCTCGGTGTGGAGCAGGACCCTTTCTGGATTGGAGATCTTATGTCCTACGGTCAAAGGTAGGTCAGCTAATACTTTTTATGGCCAGTTTTTACAGAGAAAGGTAGGGGGAAAGTTAGAGCAATATTTTTAGGTTTTATGGCTAAAACCTAAACCTGGATTTGGGGAAAAAAGGAGTTCTGGTTTCTAATATTGCCTTGGGGAAGAAGAATTCTAGTTTCTGTGGTTAGCCTTGGGGAAGAATGGGACTGAGTCAGGAAGACACCAGAAGGTCAAAGAAAAACTTTTGCTTCTAAAGCAGCTTCTGGGGCCTTCCTTTTGGACATTGTTTTCTGAGTCCTAACAAGGCTAACGGCATGCCCAGGTCCGCACAGCCAGAAAGCAATGGGGTCAGGACCGGAGCCCAGGTATCACCCTGCAGGGTCACCTCTGCTCAAGTCCCTCATCACAGAAATGCAAATTGAAACAGGAAGAAGCACTTTTCACCTTTAGCTCAGCAAAAATTTCCAGTGAGGGACGGAGTTAGAATGTGGCTGCCACGGTGAAGAGGAAGCTGTCAGGGTTAGTGACATGGAGCAGCCACGTGTCCCAGGACTCGGCAAGGCCACCCCAGCACCTACTGCCTGGCGGATGCCTCCCACGGCTGCACAGAGACGGCGGAGCTGCTGTCACAGTGTCGTTTGCTGTAGAGAATCACTGGAGGAGACACAGAGATTCATTCACGGATGGAGAAGACAAGAGAGAACCAACAGGACGGGCGCGGCCTGAGCACCATGGGGTCACTATCTGTGTCTGTCGATTTTGCATTGCCTCAACATTCTCATGATGAAAAGTGCTTTTATGACGTCGAATGGGAAAGGAGAGGAGTTCAGAGTGCTCCGAGACTGGCGACAGTGCACTCACACAGTCAGGTTAACGCAAACGCACAATCATGATCTGACCCATTGCAAAACAGCCGCCTTGGAAGATGAGAGAGAGCGGGATCGTGTGGGGTGGGCAGCAAGCCAATGCCGTCCTTCAGGTGGCAGTCCACTTACTAGACGATGCTCGAAAGGAAGAGTCGGCGTGCTGGCTGTGACGTGTGGTGAGAAATGGCAGTGGACGACCAGACTGCTGGGCTTGGACCAAGCCTGAATGACGCTGCCTCATGCGGCCACTGCCACACCAGGAGCCTGCACTGGGAGCCGGCTGGGTCTCTACACTACCAGGCAACGTCAGGAAATGCCCTCCAGCCCTTGCGGTTCAGAACACCGATGGAGAGGCTTGTTTAGGGATCACAGGTGGTGAGCCAGCAGCACGAACAGCCACAAGAGGAAGGCGATAGCGCAGGAGGGAGGAGGGAGCACCACTGGCTGAGCTGCCCCTTCCAGACCCTTCCTCGGCCTTCTCGCCTCTGCCACCACTGAGGAAGGGCTCCTGGCAGAGAAGGCCAGACGGCGTGGAGCCAAGCCTGACCCAGCGGTGGCAGACCCCGTGCCCCTCTGCCGGCGCCATCTTGCTCTGTCAGCGGCTGTGGGCGGACCAAGAGTCATCCTTGGGGCAGGACAGACTCATCGAGCTGTGCTTCCACTGTGGACTCTGGTTCCTCCCTGAGTCACAGTTGCCCTTGTGACATCATGGCTATCTCCCTCTACTTCTCCACCCCTCCTGCCCCTGCCAGGGTAAGGGGAGCAGCAACGAGAGGGGATGTGAACACCTGAACCACTGCCCCAAACATGGGCTGTCTATGCTGTGTAAGACTCAGGCAGACAGTCTCCCCCTGGGGGTGGGAGGGTTCTGTGGCAAGAGGGAAGGAGCACTAGATGACTTCATAGACCCAGGCAAAAAATGGGGAGGCAGGGCGGTGGGGACTTTGCACAGAAGCTGGTCCTCACCATGATCCCCACCCCACATTCTGATTGCAGAAGCGTGACCCAGACGTAGACCCACTGGAGATACAGAAACTGAAGGTAGGTGGGCCAGGAGTGCGAGAGAACCGCAGACCACTGGCCCCCCAATCCCTGGGGTCCTGGAAGTGGAGGCCTCATCTGCGGTCCCTCGGCGGTTGGTGCAGCTCTCCTGCACCAAATCCCCTGGTGTCGGGGAACTGTGTTAAGCAGAGATAGACAGGACGGAGGACGCGCCTGGACAGGGCGTGGGGGCTCCCGGGTGGGAATGCAAAGGCAGCGGGGCCGGCCAGCGCGAGGCGCAGAAGGACATGCAGGGCCTGAGGTAGCAGTGGACGTCAATAGGAGGGAGGGAGGAGGGGAACCCAGAGGGCTTGGCCCTTACCGAGGCAGCAGGAGGTGGCTTGGTGCTCGAATTTGGACAAGACGCAGGCCATAAATGCCAGCTTCATCCTCATGGGGCATCCTCTGGCTCCTCAAAGCCCAAGTCGGGTCTTCTGGGAGAAGTGTTTTCCTGGTTCCTATGAACCTGTGAGGTCCACAAGGCAAGCTTCCCATTTATAGACAAGGGACACTGTGAGTCTGAGGGTGAGCAGAAATGCCCACAGTCGTGGAGGACTGAAGAAGAGCCCAAACTCCACCCAGGCCTGCTGGGTCCTCAGAACCACCAGGGGAAGTGCAGATTGTTCAGAGAACCAGTAAATGTTACGACTAAATATACAGTGCCGTGTGCATGCTCTAGGCCCCAGAGAGCAGTCTGGCCTTCCAGATCGATGGCTGTTCTTTTTATCTGACTGAAGTTGCATTTTAATTTTCAACCTTTTTAGAGAATCCTTCCCATTACTATTTCTCTCTTTTTTTAAATTTTAATGTATTATGGGGGTACAAGTGTTAAGGTTCCCTGTATTGCACATGCCCCCCTCCCCCCTCAAGTCAGAGCCTCAAGCTGACATTCCCCAACCTCACACATCTCACTCATTGTGTTTGTATATACCCTCCCTCCTCCCCCTCCCACCTGCCCGACACCTGATAAATGTTACTCCTATATGTCCACTGAGGTATTGATCCGTTAATACCAATTTGCTGGTGAGTACACGTGGTGCTTGTTTTTCCATTCTTGAGTAACTTCACTTAGTAGAATGGGTTCCAGCTCCATCCAGGAAAATACAAGAGGTGCTATATCACCATTGTTTCTTAAAGCACTGAGTAGCACTCCATGGTATACACATAGCACATTTTATTAATCCATTCATGAATTGATGGGCACTTGGGTTGTTTCTACAACTTTGCAATTGCGAACTGTGCTGCTATAAACATTCGAGTGCAGGTGTCTTTTTTATAAAGTGACTTTTGAACTTTTGGGTAGATGCTCAGTAGTGGAATTGCTGGATCAAATGGTAGATCTACTCATATCGCTTTAAGGTATCTGTATACTGCTTTCCACAGAGGTTGAACTAGTTTGCAGTCCCACCAGCAGTGTAGGAGTGTTCCTATCTCTCTGCATCCATGCCAGCATTTGTTGTTTGGGGACTTTTTGATAAAGGCCACTCTCGCTGGAGTTAAGTGATATCTCATTGCAGTTTTGATTTGCATTTCCCTGATGATTAGAGATGTTGAGCATTTTTTCATATGTTTGTTGACCATTATTCTGTCTTCTTTTGAGAAGTTTCTATTCATGTCCTTTGCCCATTTTTTGATAGAGTTGTTTGATTTTTTTCTTACTGATTTTCCTGAATTCTAAATAGATTCTAGTTATCAGCCCTTTATCAGATGTGTAGATTGCAAAAATGTTCTCCCATTCCGTGGGTTGTCTGTTTGCTCTCTTGACAGTTTCTTTGCTGTGCAGAAGCTTTAATTTGATCAGGTCCCATTATTATTTTGTTGCTGCTGTGATTGCCTTTGGGTCTTCTTCATAAATTCTTTGCCTAGGCCAATGTCTAGAAGAGTATTTCCAACATTTTCCTCTAGAATTCTAATAGTTTCAAACCTAATATCAAGTCTGTTACCCAGCATGAACTGATTTTTGTGAGAGGTGAAAGGTGTGGGTCCTGTTTCAGTCTTCTACATGTGGCTATCCAGTTTTCCCAGCACATTTATTGAATAAGGATTCTTTTTCCCCATGTATGTTTTTGCCTGCTTGTCAAAGATTAGTTGGCTATATGAGGATGGTTTTATATCTGGGTTCTCTGTTCTCTTCCACTGGTCAATGTCCCTGTTCTTGTGCCAATCCAAAGCTCTTTTAGTTACTATAGCCTTATAGTATAGTTTGAAACCTGGTAAATTGATACCTCCTATTTTGTTTTTATTGCCTAGGGTTGATTTCGCTAAATGGGGCCCTTCTCTGGTTCCATACGAAGCATAAAACTACTTTTTCTATATTTGTGAAAAATGATGATGGTATTTTAATAGGGATTGCTTGACTCTGTGGGTCACTTTGGGTAATATAGATATTTTAACAATGTTGATTCTGCCGACCCATGAGCATGGTATATTCTTCCATCTGTTTACATCCCCTGCTCTTTCCTTCTTCAGTGTTTCATAGTTCTCCCTGTAGAGGTCTTTTACCTCCTTAGTTAAATATATTGCTAGGTACTTTATTTTCTTTGTTGCTATTTTGAAGGGAATTGAGTCTTTGATTTGGTTCTCACTTTGACTGTTGTTGGCGTATATAAATGCCTCTGATTTCTGTGTGTTGATTTTGTATCCTGAGACTTTATCAAATTCATTTATCAGATCAAGGAGTCTCTTGGTTGAATACTTGGGGTTTTCTAGGTATAATATTATGTCATCAGCAAAGAGTGAGAGTTTGATCTCTTCAGCTCCCATTTGGACACCTTTAATTCCGCTCTCTTGTCTGATTGCTGTAGCGAGGACTTCCAGCACTATGTTGAACATAAGTGGAGATAGTGGGCAACCTTGTCTTCTTCCAGTTCTAAGTAGGAATGCTTTCAATTTTTCCCCATTCAGTATGATATTGGCTGTGGATTTGTCATATATGGCTTGCATCATTTTTACGTAAGCCCCATCTATGCCTATTTTGTTGAGCGTTCTTATTATAAAAGGGTGTTGAATTTTGTCAAATGCTTTCTTTGCATCTATTGAGAGGATCATATGGTCATTATTTTTGCTTCTGTTTATATGGTGAATTACATTTCTAGATTTTCATATGTTGAACCATCCCTGCATCCCTTGATGAAGCCCACTTGGTTGTGATGGATTATTTTCTTGACTAGTACCTGGATTCTATTGGCTAGGATTTTGTTGAGAAATTTTGCATCTATATTCATAAGGGATATTGGTCTGTAGTTTTCCTTTTTTGTTGCATCCTTTCCTGGTTTTGGTATCAGGGTTATGTTCGCTTCATAAAATGTGTTGGGGAGTCTTCCATCCTTCTCGATGTTGTGGAATAATTTTTGCAGGATAGACACCAGTTCTTCTTTGTAGGTGTGGTAAAATTTGGGTGTGAAACCATGTGGTCTAGGACTTTTCTTTTTAGGAAGGTTTTTTATTGCTGTTTCAATTTCAGTACTTTGATATCGGTCTGTTCAGGAATTCTATTTTTTCCTGGTTGAGCCTAGGGAGGCTGTGTGTTTCTAAGAAATTGGTTACGGGACCCAAAAGCAACAGTGTAGCCTGCTCCTCCCAGCAAGCACCACCTACTGACAAGGAGGTCATTCTGCACACCCTTTTATGGCATCTATTGACTCATCATACAGGGTGTGGTTGAATCTCTTTTGGCAGCCTCAGATAGGGATGGGGGGGGAGGAGAATGAAGCAATATGGCGCCTGCCATGCAGCTTGGGTCTGAGCACACATAGGTGCCCCGAGGTAGTTGGGAGTCTCGTGCCAAGTCCACTATAGGCTTACCACTCACTGGTGGTGGCCGTCTCTGGGCTGGTGTCCACAGGTCTCTCCACCCGCTGGAGAGCCTACCAGCAGTCTGAGATGCAAGGGAGGGTAGAGTCAACCGCTTCACCTACCCTTGCCGCTGGTCTCCAGGCTACTCGGGAGGTCTCTGCTTCCAGTTCTCCTCTCTAACCTCCTCCCATGGAATCTCCCGTGGTCTCAGGTATCCCTCCTTCTGACCCTCCTCCAATGTATGCTTGTCTGCTTGCTTCTTTCTTCTAATTTCTCCTAGAATCTGTCTTTTCTGCAGAGACACTCTGTCTGGTGGTGTTTCTCGTCTGCCATCTTGCTCCGCCTCCCAGACTGATGGCTTTTACAGGTACAATAAGTAGTCACTTCAAAGCAGCTTTCTACATTGAAATCCTAGCAGTCTGAGAAGGGCTCCACTGCCCCTGTGAATGTTGTAGGTTTTGTGAGTCTCAGTGATTCCAACAACCACAAGCACCCCAGGGAATCAGGCCCTGCTCCTTTTCCTCTCCCTGGGGAAAGACTTCAGTGCAGGTACCTCCCCGCTGCCCCTAGTGCCTATGGCCGCTGTTTGGACTGGCAGTGGCCATATGCTACGGACTTTATATCCAAATCAGAAGTTGCAGCCCAAGGCTGTCCTCATATATGCAGAGCCAGATGTCCCATTGCATAGCCCTGACATCATTCCTGTCTCCTGAACTTAGAATTGGGAGGGGTTGGGCTTCCCACTTCTGAAGTTGCTGGGCACCCTGTCACCTGAGAGCTGCATCTGAGGCCGTGCTCTGTCAGTCTGCCGTCGGGGCAGTTGGGGCCTGCACACACCGGGTTTCTGTTAAGCAAGCCCCCAGACAGAAGTCAGGCATGTGGCCCCCTCTCCTGGGAGCAGCGCAGCCCAGAGAAAGCACAGGAGGCTGGCCTTAGTGACGACAGGCACAAGGTTCTGCATGACTCATGCTAAATTGGATGCGCATGGGCAGGTGATACCCCTTTGGGAAATGCCTGATATGATCTAAGGATCCTCAGCTCTTCCTCTATGCTCCATCCTCAGCACCCTCTTCCCCAGGGTACTGAACGCAAATAGATCCCCCCACTGCTGTCACCTCCTCCTTATATATGGCACCATTTCAGTGACTTCAGCATTGACTGGATGATGCTCCCAAACCCCTTGGCTCTCATCCCTAGTGATTTTGACTTTCATCCCATCTCAGTCACCCACTCACACCACTGAACTCCAGACCATTGCTTCCTAAGCTTTCTGTAGGGAAGGACCACTCTTTAAAAATGCCTAATCTATCACAGACAAGTTCTTACGTAAAACAATAAAAATGAATTATGAGAAAACTATAAGGGAAAGTTACATAAAATATAAGCCTAATTCTTAATTATTTGAACACACATAATATTACTATTTCAATTTTCCAGTTTCTATATGCTTATTCTCAATCTCTATACTTATGCAACTAGTAACTGACTTGGAGCTAAAGAAGCTGGCAAGCTGGAAAAAACAATGATCAAAGACAACACCCCTTACACACACACACCAAAATAATCCCACTCTAGCCAAACACCAGAAACAGGGCATACTCACAAGATAAAATTACTGGACAATAACACCTTCATTCCAGCCAATCAACACAGATAAACCTGTGGTGCTACCCCAACTCATGCAGCCAAGGCGGAGTGGGGAGCCTAGAATCCTACTGTCCCCAGGCTACAGTGAGGGCCCCCAACACTCCTGCTGGGATGCTTTCAAAGAAGGTTGAGTAGGGAGCTGTAATGATGGAAAGTTTTAAACTTTGGGGAGAAGTAACATATTTATTGTGTTGGGTTTTCCAATCCATGAGCATAAAATATCTGTTTATTTAGATCTCTGGTTTTTTAAAAGCATTGTTTTATAGTATTTACCATACAAGCTCTGTATGTGCTTTGCTAGATTTACAACTAAGTATTTCATTTATTAAAGCAAGTGTGTGTGTGTGTTGTTTTTTTTTTAATTTGGGGGACCACATGTTCCTTGCTAGTATATAGTAATATAACTGATTTAAAATTTTTTTTTAATTTTTTGGCTTATTAGTCCTTATAAACAGGATAGAAATATAACCGATTTTTGTCTTTGCTGTGTATCTGCCAATTTGATGAACTCATTTTTTAGTTCTAGGATAATTTTTTCTTCTTTTAGATTCCTTAGGATTTTCTATGTAAACCATGTCATCTGAAAAAAGGGACAATTTTCTTTCTTTATGATCTGTATAGCTTTCATTCACTTTTATTGACTTATTGCATTGGCTATGACTTCCAGCACTATGTTAAATAAAATTGATGAGAATTGACATCTTTGCATTGTTCCCCATGTAGTGTGAAAGCATTCAATCTTTCACTGTTAAGTATAATGTTAGCTGTAGGTTTTTTGTAGATGTTCTTTATCAAGTTGAGGAAGTTCTCCTCTATTACTATTTTGCTGAGTTTTTTTTATGATAAATGAGTGTTGAATTTCATCAAATACCTTTTCTACATCAATTGAAATGATCATGTAATTTTTTTTCTTTAGCCTATTTATACACAGTGTATTATATCAATTGATTTTTGAATGTTGAACCTAGAATAAACCTTATTTGGTCATGTAAAATTCTTTTTATACACTGATAAATTATTTTACTAATACATTGTTAGGGATTTTTGTATCTATATTCATGAGAAATAATGGTCTGTCGTTTTCTTTTTGTAGTTATTTGTCTGGTTTTGATATCACGATAATTCTGGTTTCATTAAATGAATTGGGAAATGTTACCTACACTTCTATTTGCTAGAAGAGATTGCATAAATTGGTTTTATTCTTTAAACTTTGGTAAAATTCTCTAGTGAAACCAATTGGACATGGAGGTTTCTTTTTGAAGGGAGTTTTAAAATTATAAACTTAATTTCCTTCATAGTTATAGGACTAGTCAAATTATCTGTTTCAGATTAGATGAATTGTGGTAGTGTGTGTTTTTTGAGGAATTGGTCCATTTTATCTAGTTTGTCAAATTTATGTGTGCAGAGCTGTTTATGGTATTTCCTTATTATCTTTTTGATGTCTGCATGGTCTGCAGTGTTTTATTTCTAATATTGGTACTGTGGGTATTCTCTTTTTCTTAATCACTCTTGCTGAAAGGACGGTCAATTTTATTGATCTTTTCCTACCTCTTTGTTTCATTGATTCTATTGTTTTCCTTTTTTCAATTTTATTGATTTCTGTTCTTATTTTCATTATTTCCTTCATTCCACTTACTCTGGGTTTATTTTGCTCTTCTTCCTCTAGGTTCTTAATGTGAAAGCTTAGATAACTGATTTGAGAATATTTCTTTTTTAATATAAGCTTTCAGGGCTATATTAGCACTCTTAGCGCTGCTTTACCAGCCTCCCCTATATTTTAGTGTGTTGTATATTCATTATCAGTTAGTTCGTTGTATTTTTTAACATTTCTACTTGAAACGTCTTCTTTGATACATGGATTAGAAATGTGTGATTTAGGTCCCACGTCTGGCAGGAAGAGCATGGAAGTGACACTGTGTCCTCACAGCATTCCTTCAGGTGGTGCATGATTTCCATTTGTAACCTTAGTCGTGCTGTTCACTTTGATCACTTGATTAAGTTGATTTTGTTCAAACTTCTCCACTACAGGATTATTCATTTTCTTTTTGTAAATATTTGGTGAGCATATACCTTGAAATTATTTAAATATCTTTAACCTCATCAAAATTTCAATTTATTTATTTATATCAGTGTGGACTGTTAGTTTCCCACTTTATTCAATAGGTCATAAAACATTAATATCTTGATTCTTTAGATGCTCAAATTGTCCCAGATTTGGCCAGCAAGAGCCTCTTCAATCTGGCTTCTGTGTTCTTCTGACATGCTGTCCTCATTCTTTGAACACTTGCTTATTTTCTGGCACAAAATTGTATTCCAGATTTATTTTGTACTTTCCTGCCCCAGGCCAGAAATTAGCCATTTCTCCTTCCTTCCTTTAGAGAGAAACAGTATTACTCATTGTTATTGAGATACTGCGGCTCACAGGCCCCTGCAGTGGACAGAGCCAATGAAATATATGTATGTAATAAATGTTTGTGTATATGTTCGGCACAAACACACACATTTATATCTATATTTATTTCTATATCAACTGAAATCTATGATTTCACACTGATACATTCAATCCCCAAACCAAATCAAGGGGTTCATTTTGGTTTTAACTTTTCCATATTTCTAATTCTTATTTCTGAGAGCGAGACACCCAGCTCTCATTATGCAAAATGAAATTCCTTACTCGATCAGTCTCCCTTATGTGTATCCGCCTTCCATCAGCACCGCTGCCGCACCGGCACGCACACCCCTCCTCACCCTGCGCGGCTCTGGCACCCCGCCACGGGCGCCTCCACGCAGATGCGCTGCCTCGCCTGCGCAGGGGCCGTCAGCCCATGCCGGGCCTCCCCCACCTGGACGCTTTCTCCCCCTCTCGGGATTAACACTCTGTGCCAGGCTTCACGCCTCACAGGTGCGTGGACTCTGGCTCTCCTCATTGGTCTGCCGATCCCTATTAATGTCCCCTTCATCCAACCTGAGCTGACACAAAATGTCAGGACACCCTCTGTGAGGACGTCCTCCTCACTGTGCACAGCTTCTCACTTCCTCTGCCACCAAGGATGCCTCCTCATCCTGCTGGACGCCACTACCAGTATGCCGTGTGCCCGTGCGGCCTGCCTCGCGCTGCCGGGTCCCTGCCGGGTCCCTGCCGGGTCCCTGCCGGGTCCCTGCCGGGTCCCTCGTGCCAGCGCTGCCGCCCTGGGTCCTGGCCTGGCTCTGGGCCGCGGCTCTTCCCCGGCCGCGCCTGCGCTGCGCCGCCCAGCCCGGCGCCTTTCGGGCTGAGTGACTCAGGGAGGAAAGGGAAATGAAGGCGAGGACAAGAGAAAATTGAGTTTCGAATTGAAAAATAGAAACGAGCCATTTGCAGAAGGAAATTCTCAGCCACTGGCTAAAATTTGCTTCAACGTTTTCACCCCAAATCTCAAGGAAACACAACCACAGCGAAAACCCAGAAATTGTCCATGAAAACAAGGATCAAAATGTTCAAGCACAGGCTCATGCTTAGGCCTCCCTCTCCCACTGCAAATCCACAGGAATAACAGAAAAGAAATACATGAATTAAAAAATCTCTAGTAGCATCTAAAATATAGGAACGGGGCCGTCGGTGGACTGAAATTATGTGGAATCCCTGACAGAGGCATATGTGGAAAGGCTGAGAGACAATAAATGGAAGCTCCAAAAGGCCTCAGGCAGGTGCGAGAGTGGCCATGCAGTCCCTCCACCTTGCCGGGCGGCTGGCCCAGGGGAGGA